GCACGCACGCACGCACAGGGTGTGTAACACCCTTTAACCCCACTACCCACTCCATGTGATTGATGTACCCCCTGTTCAGTTTTTAACCTGCGTGCATCTCTGAGCATCCTTTCAAAGGGGAGCAGAAACATTTTAACATCCCATAAACTCTCGAATCACCATGGGACAGTTTATCATGAGGGTAGAGGGAAACAGGTGCACTCACTGCGTGTTTTCTGGAAGTGAATAGTTTGTCTTTGATGCGTTTTAAGAAGAAAATGACATAAGCGTGCACAATTAAAGTTGCTGCAATTAACATAACTATAAATTAGTCTGCTTATGAGGACTAATAATGTCTAATAAAGCCCAGGTTTGAAGTTTTTATGCAATATGTGGGCTTTTTTTTTTCCTCCTGGTGATTTGAACTCACCTCGGCCACGCCGAAGCACAGACACGCCGCCAGCAGCGCGAGCAGCAGCTGGACCCACGAGCTCATCTTGCTGCCCAGCCTCGAGCCTCTCCAACGGACCGGGCATTTATGGAAGCGCGAGGATTGCCCCTCTCTCTCCTCAGCACTGCGGCGCGAGGCTTGGGGGGGTGGAAGGGGTGGGGGAGTGGAGCGGAGGGAGGGCAGCGGCTCGCCCTGCCGAGGGAGCTGCGCGCGCCTCCGAGCTCCGTCCCGAAGAAAAAGAAGGTGCTCGTTCAGTCCACCTTCAAAATAATCCCTTGTAGTGTTAATCCTCCTGTTCGTTTAGTTTTTCCTGAAGCTTGGGTTCCAAAATGTAGGAATATAATAATAATAAATAAACACCAAAAGTGTTCCAAACATTTCCAAGACAGGAAAAAAAGATGAAAACTTCACCAAAAGTTTAAAAAATATAKTCCGAGCGAAAGTCTACAAAAATATAGTAACAATAATCATAATTTAATCCAAAAATAAAGAGTCTTAATTTCTTCAGGACGGTAGTTTTGGGTTCTTCTTCCAAGGAGTCTTATCAAAAGGCAAAGTGTTGTGCGGCTTGGTGCGCCTGGAGCAGCCTGATTACGCAGCAGCAGCAGCGGTGGTGGTGGTCGTGGTGTTGGTGGGGTTGAGAGGAGCAGACCTTCATGTGAATCAGCCTGCTCTCTCTCTCTCTCTCTCTCTCTCTCTCTCTCTCTCTCTCTCTCTCTCTCTCTCTCTCTCTCTCTCTCTCTCTCTCTCTTTCTCTCTCTCTCTCCCGCCCCCTGCCTGAAGAATGAGCGATAATCCGCGTGCAAAACAGCGACATTTCAGTCCACAAACAGCCGCCTCGCAGCTTTCACGTGCGCAATGTTTTCCTCCTGAGTCATTTATGCTGATATTTAGGAAGCATGGCCAACTTTGGTTTTGGTCTCTTTGTGTGTGTGTGGTCCTTCTGACTCTAGTTTAATGTGTATTTGTGTTTTTTATCTGATTTTTTTCTTTATCTACGACAAACAGATAACTAGGCTAATCACTAAATGCAACGTAATTTAAAATAAATGAGCAAAATCTTTTAATCTCTCACGTTCCTAAAAATTGTGCTTCGTTTTTGTACAATTGAATATTGAAAGATATTGAGTCGGTTAAAATAATCCCTGGACTAAACAACTTTYTCTCTTTTTCCCCATGTTTTACAGAAACCCAACTCTACAGGCCGTCCTCATCCGTCTGTGAAGTTATGGCAAATTCCTGGTTTGCGGGATTTTAAAATTGTCCGTTGATTTTCAAAAGCTGAGAGACTCCACACATGATGATAACAAATCATAGATCTAACAGGTATGGTCCTACAGTGTGTGGTGTACAGTCACACAGCAAAAAAACAAAACACTGCACAGACTTCACCCACAAATAGTGCTATAGTCTAGTTTTTATACTGTGACCTTTACTTCCTACCATTGAGTCGCAACCATGACTTATGATTCCCAACCTTCCTCAAGGCCCAGTATCCTGCATGTTTTAGATGTTTCCCTGCTTTGACACACCTGATTTGTTTGAATRAGTGATTAACAGGCTTCTGAAGTATCTGAAGAGCAACAACTAAACATGGATGGTGTTCCTTGAGGATCAGATTTGTGAACTACTGACTTTAAGCACACAGKTTATTTTTGAATGCAATGGAATCTTTTTTGTCTTAATAAGATCAGTAAGAACGTTTTTTGTAATAAAACTGTGACAAACACAAAACTTTAAATTGATATTTTAAAAAAGTAAAACATTTAAACTTTTTTATAGCAGTGGGTTAACACATATTGGGGTAGGTAGACTGATGCAATAAGTTTAATCTGTCAATATGACTCCCGCATGCGAAGCGTAAGCGCGAGTCAAATTGTTTTCGTACTGTTTATTTATTTATTTTTTTTATTTTCTCCAGAGATTTTTGGCCAGCTGTAGCACAAAAACGGCTGCACCGGTCAACATGAAATTTGGCAGGGCTGTAGATGAGTCTGACCTACACTGCGCCAGCCAAAGGTTTTATGATAGACCCCATATTTGAGGAGGGGGCTCCTGTCCTGAGTTTTTCAACTTACCACCACAAATAGTGCTTTCTGCCAGCATGGTACCTGTCTGCAGTTGCTTCAGTTGGTTCACTCTAAGCCATTTCAGAGACCTCATTTACATTTTTTGGGCTTCTTCTTAAAGTTCAAAATAATGGTCTGTGCTTAATTTTTTTTTACTATGTGCCAAAGTTGGCACTGGTCACATAGTGGAGTATGGTTACAAATACTGCGTGCAGTGTGTAGTGCATTAAAGCTCCTTTAACTTGACAGAGTTAGAGCATGAACCGGGCATGAGAGTGTGCACACCTGATTGTGTCCATCTTGTTTATGYGTGTTTCACTTTATTTCCACTGCATCTTATTTCCACATGTAGAATGCTGCCATGCCACCTGTCTTTTTTGAGAATATGTACTGACGTATGCTGCTGAATGATACTTTTCTCTGCTTATATTAAGTGGTAAATCTGAGAGAATTTAAAGGGGTTATACAACGTATACCTGCAAACACCACTGCTCACAAACRTTCAGATGTCAGACGGGAAATCTCACTAAACTTCTCATGATCAAACGGGAKTTCACAGTAAATACACATGGCCAACAAGGAAGAMGCAAGGGTGATAGTTTGTGGATTATTTTTAACAGAGATGAACAAAATGGCTGTGTCCAAATTCAGAAGGTGGAACCTTCGAAGGACCTGGYCTCGGTCTAGGTGGGCCGGGTCATTGGTAGACCGCTGGAAAAACGTGGCTGTGAATTTGAACAATCTAGTCTTCTGCTTAATTCTTGCCCTTACCACAGCATATGTCCTGTTGCTTAGTAATTGTGACAACGCTAAACTGAAGCAAAAATAGATTGAAATGAGTAAAATATCAACACATTAGTATTGATAATRTAAAACAAATTAGCTTAAAGGTCATATTTGAAGGACTAAGGGATGTACGATAATGTTTATGTTGCTATACCAGCTCATTTGATTTCTGCCAAGAACAATATTTAAAAACACGTCTATACAAATGACAACAGCATTAACAACACAACCACTTGAAATTTTTAATTTTCATACCTTCAGGTTTTTATTTAAAACTGTATTCCTTTCTCTCGCTTCATCCGCCATTACGAGCAGAAAAAATAGTAGATTGGCCCGCAATGCATCATGGGATAGGGTGGGCCGAGAAGGATCCATCGGACCCATCCCTCAAATTGAGGACAAAAGGTGGACGCATTTGTAAGYCTCAACTGTGGAGTCTTTGAATTTGGACACCCTCTGCCGTGGCGCTGTGACGTAACTGGGCAACAAAAGTTGGTCTTAAGAGGACGCAGTCCCTGAATTTGGACACAACCRAAAAGATGGCTCCATTGTCCAGTAGACTTTCTGGTGTGCCACGGCWGTATATTTGTATACTACTTTGTATATTACTTCTGTATTTTGGAATCACCTCTGTGTTTCTGTCACCTCGTTTTCTGATTTGAGATCTGAGCAGCCCCAACGTTCTTCTGAGCCAACAAGATCACTCTTAACACACCACGCACTGCAGAAATATCTCAAAAGATTATTTTTAGAGCCATCACGATAATTGGAGTGTCCTTACGTTAGTTGGAAGGGCAAAATCGGGTCAAAAATCTGCATGATTATATATCCATGTGAACCAGGCTTAAGCAACAAAAAGAGTGAAGTATTTTACTTCTAATTCTGAAAGTTGAGTTCTTGGAAATGCAAAGTTTCTACAATGAAGCAACAATTTATTGTATAACTTGGACAGTCATMTTTAAGAAGAAAGGAAGCTGGAAATATCTATGAACAATCTATCCGTTATTTTAACCTGCTTCTTCCTTTCAGGGTCACTGGTGCTCATACCCAGCAGTCACTGTGTGAGATACGGGGTACACCTTGGACAGGTTGCAAGTCCATCTCATGAAAAATAAATTATAAACAAAAGATCATAAAATCATTTCAGTCTGCTCAATAAGCTTTTATGCTAGTTCTTTGTTGGAGAGGTCACAGGAGTCATTCCCAGAGCCCTGACCTTTTATCGGTCACTCGTGTTTAGGGAACATTTGGAAACAATGCTGGATGGTGACTCTGCATGATCAAGCAGMCTAAGCCCAAAAATAGTACATAAGTCTCCCGACCTTTGCGGACCTTCAATGGCTCTTAATGTTATGAAACTGGTGGAAAAGATTATTTAACTTGAGAGGGGGTTAAAACATATAGCATGGTTTAAACTGTAAGCCTGCACATCAGCCATGAAGATTGTTTCCCACAGTCTTTCCTTTCAGTTGGGTTGTTATCCGGTGAATAATAGGATGCCATTGTTGTTCTAACAAGAGTCAATAGAGGAAGCAGCATGAGTTATGGATCTATATTTAAACTCTGTTTCATATTCAAACGTTTGACCAAGGATACTGACAGTTRTGTTACTTTGATTCTAAAGAAACAGTGGTGGCGTAAAGTGACCCTAACCCAATGCTTTAAAGGTTCAAAGACAAATAATTTCCCTCACCTTTCATTGCCTTCTCCAGTTAGAGACACAAACAAGAATTCTCACTGCTTTTACTTTTTTATTTTTTCATTCCTGCCKAGTATAATGCAGTAAGGATCTTTAAGCTACAATTATAATTTTCATTTTGGCCCAGGAGGTTTTACATTGCTAAAAGTAAAACAACCCACAAAGTTTGTCTGGGCCACACAAAGCACTAACACTCGGCCCAATTACAGCAAAGAATACAGCCCTTTGGCAGCCYAGATGTGTTTTGCCAGAGATGGGCCATTCATGAGCCAGCCCCACATAAATTAAACCACAAYTGGGCCAGTTGTAGTATACCGTCTTAAAAAATACTGCCATCCTTGCCAGACCTGGCCCACATTCAGTTAACAAAGCAGTTGCCATGCCAGCAGTGTCAGCTTGACACCAGATCAGGTGCACACCTGTCTGCTRTGTGGGAATGTTGTAGTTGGACCAACTTTAATGGTCAAAATGTTTTTGCCGTAGGGTTTAACAATCTTCCACTTTGAAAAATGATTTTAAAATTCTCAGTTTTTGTCACCAAATCCTTGATTTAAAAAGTATCCAGTGAAGTGTTGACAGAGTCCTATAAATGAAGATTTTACCTCTGTCTAAAATCCTTCTATCACGCATGTTGTAAATTTTTGGATGCACCCAAAATGTTACTGAGTCTGTTGCTCTCCAAACAGAAATGTGTTTGGTTTCTAAGGAGAAAGGAGGAATGGGAGGGGTAGAGAGTGTGGGGCGGGGGGYACAGGTTCTCGACTAGAGGCAGGGACTTTCCTACTGCGACCTGCGGTCATATTTTATTGATGTAGATTTTTCACACACACAGGTTTGTTCTTCTATCCTCATGGGGACTTTGCATTGGCTTCCATTAATTTACTGGTAATTTCTATAGCCTAACCATGATCCCTTATCCCTGAACCTAACCTCAATGATACATACCTGACCCAAAKCCTAACCTAAACTCAATTTACATTTTAGTCCTAAACTGAACTCCTGACCCACCGACAGCATGTCCCCAAATGGGGGCTGGACTTTTGTCCCCATATGGAACATTGGGTCCTCACCAGATGGTGTGTACCAGGAAAATGGTCAAAAATTGTCCCC